CAGCCCCCAAGTCCCATAACAAGGTTTTAAGCGGGTTAAAATTTGGCAGCGGCTGTAAATGCCCTAAATTCAAAGGGCAACCCGGCAAGCCCTGCTATGTAACCGTAAACCCGAAGCATAGTAGTTTCCGACTCCGTTCCTATTTCTTCATTACTTCCGAAGTAGCCTAGCGCTTGGTGATTCAGGGTATGCATGGCCCACTCATGACTGCATTTATACCCAAACAAAGCATAAGCCCTTTAAGTCCCGGGTTAGAGGCACTTCGGAAAATTGGGTTGTGGCTATAAGTACGCTAAACCCCACATACCCCTAGATAAGCCTTGTACAAAGCATATATATACCCTCCCTAAACCCTTATCCCAACACCCTAAAACCCAATTCCCCTGACCCTAAAGCCCTAAAACTCAAATCCCTTAGCCCTTCAGAATCCGGTATAACGTGGGCTATACTTTGGGTACTGCCCCCCCCCTCAATAACAGCTGGATAATAATTCTAATATATTTATATATAGCCCTTAATAGGACCCCTAATATAGACTGTTACTGGGTGGGGGCAGTGCCCAACTTACACCTTATAATACTATAGTATTTGGGCCCTAAAGCCTTATTACTTGGGTCCTTGGACCCTTAACCTTATATAGTCCCCATATATCCCTATAGAATCCCCCTACAACCCTTTAAAGGTACCCTATTATTGGGTCCTTGGACCCTTAGGGTTATACTTACTCGGAACCTCCAAGCAGCAGTTCACGTGGCGAGGTGTCACGGTGCCAAAGCCGGCAGTGACAAGGCCACCCAGAAGGCGGCGCTGAGGGGTTTAGGGTTTAGGGTTTGGGGTTAGGGATTTAGGGTTTAGGGTTTAGGGTGGGGAGGGGGGGTTTAGGGTTTAGGGATTGAGGAGAACCAGGGATTTTTTGGGCTTAGGGTATAGAACCCATAATACCTGACACTTAGAACCCAATTAGAATCTAATTAGAACCATTTTGGGGACTTAGGGGGCTTAGAACTTGGGTGATAGGCACAGTTGTGAGTAGTTTATACTATCATCGCTGAGCTTCCAAAAAAGGTGTAAGGTTCTCCCAAAGAGGTATATAGGATATATGTAGGGATGAGTAGCGTTTAGGGGATTCAGGGTCTGGAAAACTTTCTTTCTTTTATCGGGTGTAGGGAATTGAGTTCAGAGACAAGGGCTTAGAGTGGGGTTCTAGGGTGTAGGGATTCAGACATTAAGGTTTAGGGTTTAGCATAAAGAGGTTAGGTATACAGTTGGGGGTTGAGGTTCAGGTACACCGCGTTCCCTAACTTCAAGCTTTCCCCACGTCTATATTGGGGCGCATATCTAGTAGGGTTCAAGTATTTCCGCAGTTTAGGCAGTGCCTCCCCCCCGCTAGCACCAGATACTTAAGAAACGTAAGCAACATTTAGGTTTCTTGCAGTTTAACACCTAAACTTTTGCCTTTAAGTCCCCCCAATCAATCCCCAAACCTTCAATCTACATATGAGCTACAGTCTAAACTCCTTAAAGGGAGTTAGATAGGGGACTATATAGGGGACTACTATAGGGCTTATTAAGGGGGATACGAGGAGTTTAGACAGTAGCTCATATCCCCATAGCGTGCCCGTGACATCCTCCCTCCAAACTGACGAAGCCTAAGCCCTCAGCCCTAAACCCTATGGGCTATTAGACCTCAAGGGTACCTTTCTCTACCCTTAATAGGCTTAATAGGCTGCTAATAGGGAGTTTTAGGGTTTAATAGCCCATAGGGGTAAACCCTAAATCCGAGATATCGCTACCTATCCTGCATGCCCCTGCGCATCCCTATAACTTACGGGTATCGTAGTTCCCTAAAACCGAAGCCTTGGCCTGAACATATACATATATATATATGCTTGCCCCCCCCCCCAAGATCTACGTTTAGAGTGCTCCCACCCGAAAATCCTTCCAAAAATGAGAAATCCAGGAATGAAGGATTTCTCTTTAATTTCTAATCAGATTTCAAAAGGAATTCATAGAGGAAAATCTTTCCGAAAATGAGAAATCCAGGAATTAAGGATTTCTCTTTAACTTCTAAGTAAACTTTAAAAGGAATTCATATAGAGAAAAATCCTTCCAAAAATGAGATTCTAGGAATGAAGGATTTCTCTTGAATTTCCAATTAAATTTTAAAAGGAATTCATATAGAGGAAAATCCTTCCAAAAATGAGAAATCCAGTAATTGAGGATTTCTCTTTAATTTCTAATTAAATTTTAAAAGGAATTCATATAGAGGAAAATCCTTCCAAAAATGAGAAATCCAGGAATTGAGTATTTCTCTTTAGTTTCTAATTAAATTTTAAAAGGAATTCATATAGAGGAAAATCCTTCCAAAAATGAGGAATCCAGGAATTTAGGATTTCTCT